ATAAAAGGCTATAAAATGATTTAGAGATGCATGCTCAAATTAGCATGTTGAAACAAATGCACATTTACTAAAAGGTGTTCATTGCTTCATGAAATAATGATCTGTAAGAAACATAATTTCATGTATCAATTATCCCAAATACCAGCTAAAGCTTGTCATAAACTGTGAGAGACAAGAGAGAATAATTAAAATATTTTTAATTTGACTTGGTCACTTTATTCATAATGAGCATGAAGCTTTATTATAGATCTGAGTAAAATATCCAAAGAACCAATCATTTTAATGATCAATAGATATAAAAATATAGTTCTTAGATTCAAATACGACAAAACTGATATCTCTGAAGAGTCTTGAACACAGTAGATACTGAATTGCTCATTCAGTGATAGATTCAATTATTCAAGACATAGAGATGTTTTATGTTTTCAAAGAGGCATGATATTTACATATCTTTTAAAAGCCAGTAACTCCAATACACCTCTAACTAGTGAATTAAGATAAGGTATATTTTTTAAAGATAGATTTTATTCACTTTTTAAAATTTGGTTTGTTTATTTTTGGCTGCGTTGGGTCTTCTTTGCTGCCCACGGGCTTTCTCTAGTTGCGGCGAGCGGGGGCTACTCTTTGTTGAGGTGCGTGGGCTTCTCATTGCAGTGGCTTCTCTTGTTGTGGAGCACGGGCTCTAGGCGCACGGGCTTCAGTAGTTGTGGCATGCAGGCTCAGTAGTTGTGGCTCGCGGGCTCTAGAGCACAGGCTCAGTAGTTGTGGCGCACAGGCTTAGTTGCTCCACGGCATGTGGGATCTTCCCAGACCCGGGCTTGAACCTGTGTCCCCTGCATTGGCAGGCAGATTCTTAACCACTGTGCCACCAGGGAAGGCCAAGGTAAGGTACTTTTTAACTAGTAACCTACCCTTTACCCAAGACACAACTTTAATTATATTTCATAATCTTATAGGAAGCAAAATAAATAATTTCTGCCTTGCAGTCATATAATACCAATAACTCAAACTTCTCTCACCTTTACAAATGACTGGAAAATGAACAATTAGCCATTGAGTAGACAGTCTAAACCAGGAGTTGGCAAGGTTCAGCAAGGTATCTAGACTTATTTAAAATGATGTTGTTCATTCATTATATTCAGTTATTCATTAATCACTTTCTAGGTGCTGGTAGTATAGTGGTGATCAAAACAAAATGCATACACTTGTAAAGCTTATAATCTTGACATTCTCAAGAAAAAAACCTCTTAAAGTTAATTTTTCATGATTTTATCCAGCAGATTTGCTCCTCAAGGAGTTTTTAGTCTTTGTAAGAGAGAAGAGTACATAAATACCTATAATACAAGGCAGAGTGGGATGACTATCATAAAAGACTCAATATATGTGAAATAATAATGGCTAACATGTATTGAACAGTTAATACATGCCATGTACTATCCTGTAAATATATTAATTTATTCAGTCCTCATGACAGCCCTATGAGGTAAATATTACTCTCTCTACATATGAGAAACCCAAGACTTCGAATAAGTAACCTGCCTAAGGTCAGATAACTGGTAAGAGCTAGAATTTGAAAACAGGTGGGCTGACTCTATATGCTACTCTCCTAACATTTTAACTTTATTGCCTGTGTGTACTAGCAACTATGAAACAGCAACAAAATCAAATATTAAGTATCTCAGTGTAAAGAACTGTGCAGATCCAGGTGTAAAGTATTATTAGAATTATTACAAGCCAACTTCAATCAAGAGAGTTTTTAATAAGTTCCTGTCTCTTTTAGGGAGCTTCTTTCAAATGTCAGGGAGGCTCTGCAATAACATATGGGTATGAGCAGGCCCTACACATGTGTGGAAACTTGATATGTAACAGATAAGGCATTACAAAAAAATGGAAAAGGATGAACTATTTATAATCAGTTGTGCTAACATAAGTGATTATTTATATGTAAAAAGTAAAATTAGATGCTGACCTCACACTATACACAAATATCCATTCCAGGTAGATTAAAGTCCTAAATATGAATACAAACTATAAAATTGTAGAAGAAAATGTATGAAAGTAGCCTAATGATCTTGAAGTAGGGAAGGATATCTTGTAGAAGACCTAAAAAAGCACAAAACATAATGGAAAATATTGGTCAATTTGACTATGGTAAAGTGAAACACTTCTGTACCAAAAGAAATAAGTGAAAAGGTAGGCTGTAGCCAGAGATATAATATTTGCAATATACATAATTAATAAAGGATTTTAATTAAAAATACAGAGAACTTCTATACTAAGCATTTAAAATATTATACAAGAAGGATAGCTATCCATATGCATAAAATTTTAAAACAAAGTTTTGAAAGAAAATGCTTTTGTAAATTATATGTAATGTGTGTACTGTTACTTAAAGTTAAAAATCGAAACTTCCTCTCCAAAATAGAAGAAACAAAGCAGCTGATGCCTAAATGTCCTCCATTTCAATATTGTCCATCCCTAATTTTATCGTGAATAACTATGAAAGGGTTTGGGCAAACCTTCCAAAAAGAGCTTCAGCACATTATTCCCCTTCTTACCTTGATTTTTTTTTTTTTTTTTTTTGCTTTCTGTCTCTTCAACACTTATCAAACCATATAATAATTTTTTGATTATATGTCTGACTCTCTGCTAGGCTGAAGTATATATATAGTTAACCCTTAAACAACACGGGTTTTAGCTTCGTGGATTTTTTCTTGATAAATACATATTACAGTACCGCAGGGTCTGCAGTTGATTGAATCTTTGGATGTGGAACTGTGGATATGGAAGAACCACAGATACATAGATCCGACTCTAAAGTTCTACACGGATTTTTGACTGCATGAGGCTCAGTACTGCTAACTTTCATGTTGTTCAAGCGTCAACATAATAAATAGTAAATGTTTGATCACTCAGTCAATAAAAGAATGCTATTAAAAGATTAAGGGGGCTTCCCTGGTGGCGCAGTGGTTGAGAGTCCGCCTGCCGATGCAGGGGACACGGGTTCGTGCCCCGGTCCGGGAGGATCCCACATGCCGCGGAGCGGCTGGGCCCGTGAGCCATGGCCGCTGGGCCTGTGCGTCTGGAGCCTGTGCTCCGCAATGGGAGAGGCCACAACAGTGAGAGGCCCGCGTACCGCAAAAAAAAAAAAAAAGATTAAGGGTAGTCATTATCAGTAAATATATAGTAAGTGCTTAATAAAAGATACCTAATTTGATGTTAGTTAGAAATACAAAAAGGTCAAAAACTCTTTATCCTCAAAATTTACAGTATAATTAGAGAACAGATTAATAAAAAAAAGCAATCTAGGGAGGTATATACAAACCCTTAACAATAGTTTTGTGCTTAAATTTTAACTGTTTTATATCTGCCTTCTTTTTCAAAGGACCTGATAATTATTCAGGTTGTTTTGTCACTGTCTTCTATAGAGTTTAATAATAAGCTCTTAAAAACTTTGTAGATCTGAAGGAAGGAAACCTTACATACTAAGAAAATTTTAGGATATCTCACAGAGAAAACTAGGGACCAGTTGAGCTTTTAAAGAGAGACTAACATACAAAAAAATAGTCTAATGACTTACTTGTTTATCAAATCATAAAAACAAGGTTCAGAGGAAGAACTCTTCATAAATATAACAACTATTTTCTGTAATAATAGCATTTAGTTTTTACCTCACTTCCTCCAAAAATTTTAACTTTTTAGAGGTTTAAAATTTTGATTTTACCTAAACCTATCTCCTTAGTTTAGAAAGAATGATTAACAGAGAGAGAAAGTATGGCCAATATTATTCAGATTTCATTTTCATTTAACAACCTGCTGCTAAATTGTGGGTTTTAATCCAGTTTTCTCACATTGTCCTAACTTCATTGGTTGTGATAGCCCAACCCAATTCTATTGATGGATTAACATAAAGGTTAGTTACTTCTCCAAATCTTGACATGTGAAAAATAAAGGAGGGCTTCCCTGGTGGCGCAGTGGTTGAGAGTCCGCCTGCCGATGCAGGGGATGCGGGTTCGTGCCCCGGTCCGGGAAGATCCCACATGCAGCGGAGCAGCTAGGCCCGTGAGCCATGGCCGCTGGGCCTGCGTGTCTGGAGCCTGTGCTCCGCAACGGGAGAGGCCACAGCAGTGAGAGGCCCGCGTACCGCAAAAAAAAAAAAAAAAAGTAAATTCAGAAGTCAATGTCTATAAATGGAGTTTAATTTTAACACAAGAGTGCCCATTATATATTGTCTATGGCTGCTTCACTGATACACTAGCAAAGTTGAATAGTTGCAACATAGAACATGAAGCTTGCAAAGCCTAAATTATTTACCATCTGGCCCTTTACTGAAAAGTTTGCTGACTACTGCTTTAGACCATATTACATCCTTCAATTAAGAATTAAGGCCACAAGATATTGCACAACCACACAAACTTCTCATCAATTACTGTTGGCTTATGATAAATACAGTAGGTAAATATTTATGAGAAAGAGTTTAGAAAACTTCTAAATGAAAGTAGCCCCTTTAAAAAGACAACTATAGAAACATTATAAACAAAATTTGTAGAAAAATGTAGAAAAAATAATTTATATTAATTATTACAGTGCATATTTTTATAAACTGGCTACTTCCAATTGAATATTAGTATTTTTTTTTTTTTTTTTTTTTTTTTTTTTTTGTTCTGGGGCCTCTCACTGTTGTGGACTCTCCCATTGCGGAGCACAGGCTCCGGACGCGCAGGCTCAGCGGCCATGGCTCACGGGCCCAGCCGCTCCGCGGCATGTGGGATCTTCCCGGACCGGGGCATGAACCTGTGTCCCCTGCATCGGCAGGCGGACTCTCAACCATTGCGCCACCAGGGAAGCCTGAATATTAGTACTTTAAATTGCTGATATTACCTTCAAGTTTTCTTTACATTATTTGCTAAATTAGTGTGCTTTATACTGTGATAGCATTATATTTTCAACTTAGACTAAACTTATTAAATTTTGAATTTTCTTTATTTTGTTAACTATAGATATCGTGTTGAAGGAATAGTTCCAGAATCAACATCTAAACTATCTGATTTCCTCTACAAACCTGAAAACAGGGTCATATGGGACAAATCATTGAAAATGTACAGCATGGTACAAAAAATTGATTCGGTAATTTACTGTTTAATATCGGACTTTCACTGTATGAGTACACTTTTAGTTTTCTATCTTAGTGATTTGAGTTTATTAAATCTGTATTATGTGGACACTTTGTATTTTATAGGTTCAAATCAAGTTGAAATTTTTATAAAAAGCTTAAAACTTCCTTCTTTATTAGTCAAGAGTTCAATTCCAATTACCTTTATTCTGTTTTAAATGAATACCACATTCTGAACTTGGTCAGCTCTCCTGCAGATGTGTGCCTTCGGTTACTGAGGGGACTGAACTCATGGATTCACCTCCTCCATTAGGTGGAATAAAAAGATTAAGCATGCCTTGTTGATGGGAAGTCAGTAGATTTATCTTAGTCATAATACACTAGATAACAGGAACATCGTAGACACTTACTGTAAGGACTTAAGAACAAACAGCATGTGACTTTTTTAAAGAGTAAGTGTGAAATAACATTGTGGTTTTAGAAACACTTTCAAATACATTATCTCAGAAATGAAGAGGGAGAATAAAAACAGAAAAGAAAAATATAGGTAATGGACTAGAAATCTAAAGTCATAGAGGTGAGAGAAAGAAAGACAGAATGCAAGAGGCAAATAGGGCTTAAAAGGGGAGAGAAGATCAGGGTGAGGTGAGGGTAGAGTGAAAGCTCAGGATGAGAAAAACATGAATGAAATGAGAAAGACTGTTAGTTGGTAGAAAGAAGGAGGAACCAGGAAGAAGACAGGAGTGGGGTGAGGGATTCTGAACTCTGGTACAGCACAGTATAGGTCTGACACTTATTAAGACTGATAGACTTCACGGTATGTAAATTATACCTCATAAGCGGCTTCTAAAAATTGAGTCCTACTGTTTGGCTAATAATAACTTTATTAGAAGGAGCTGGTAAATGTGACTGTTGGAGTAATGCAAACTTAAACAGTTGCATTGGTAAAATTCCACATCACTGAGTCTTTGGTTCTTAGAATCTCCAAGCCGCATTTCACTCATCAAAACAAATGGCCCACATATCTGCCATCACCTTATCAGGTATTTAGAACTCTGTAGGTTAACTTTACCGCCTTTTATTAAACTGATTTTGAAATCTGGGATGGGGGTGAGATTGTAGAAAAGCCCAGAAAGGTAAAGCAGTTTCATCTTGTAGAGAGGCCTTGAAGTTCTTATCCACAAAGAACGCCTGTCCGTGACCTTCTTGGGATTTGAACGTGGCCCATCACAAATGAAAATCCAAACAATTGGACTGTTTCATTCATGATTGTATGATACTAATTATACAGTTTCATTAGCATTTCAGATATTTCTGCTGTTGCTGCAAGTCAGCTGTAATAATGGAAAGTATACTAGGTTTGGCATCAAAAAACTTGAAAACATAGAGGAATTTTGTGATTTGCCCAAGGTCACCACAGCCAATGTATGGTATAACCAGGATTTATACCTGATCTCCTCATTCCAAATTTGATGCCTTTTCCAGTATACCACAGTATCTCTGAATCACATTATACTGTGAGAAGAATTAGTCTGCCTTGCAGTGAATGTTTGTAGCATTCACTTCCAGGGGTGCATTTTAATTGACTCATTCACCCCATTGGTGAGGAAGGGATTCCTGCTCTAGGGTTATGGTGGTGGTCAAACACATGACACCAGCACTAGACAAATGAGATCCACAGCACTTTGTTAATCGTTAATCACAGCCCAGGAAGGACTGTTAAGACTTTGTTAAATTAACATTTGTTAGTGGAGCACAGGGTGCCATTAGTGAGCCAGGTTCAACAAATGACCACAAGAGAAATTGAAATAGAGAAGTTTATTACTCACAGGTCGAGGAGGAAGTGTACAGCACGCCTCAAGGGCCCCATGTGGGGAGGTCAAGGCAGGCTGCAGACAGAGAGAGGCAGGACCTGAGGCACATGCCATTATTAGTGTCTGTGGGTGGAGAGCTTTGGGGTTCCTGGGCTAAGGCCAGATTGATCAATTGGAACCAAAAAGAGCAGGGTTTTGGTAAGCTCCACAGGGGGCATCTTACCTAAGGTGCTCACAAGGGGAAGGCCCTGGGAAGTGGGAGAGACAGTTGATCAGAAGCGCTGTTGGGGAAGTCATATCAGGAACTTACATTAGCTTGTGACTCTGAGGGCTGTTATCTGGGGGTGTCCTTACATGAGAGGACTAGTGTTAGTTTAAGGCCCCTGCAGGCTGCTCGGACAAACAAAACGGATACTGAGGCAGCAGTACCATGGAGTAGCTTAGCTAAACTCTCAAGGATGCACCATGTCATGCAGTGTGACATGGGAGCTGCACTCAGGAACAGAGTGAATAACTAGGGGTTGTGCAAGGCAGGCTTTGTAGTATCAAGAGGTTGAGGTGACCCCTGATTCCTGCAGGAGGATCTGATTGGTTGTTGGAATAATTCTGCAGGGTAGCAGGGAACTGAAACCCACTACTCAGGTATAAGTAGGCATTGTGTCTGATCCTGCTGATAAGGAGGGTTGTTGGACTAAGGGTTCTTATCTGAGGGAACAGAGTGGGGAGAGGAACTTGCAGTTAGGCCATTCACAACCCTCCCAGTTTTACCAGATGTCAAAGCAGTGCATATATTGGCCTTTAATTTTAGGCCTTACACCACAAGCTGCTAAGTCAATATATTTTTCAGAATATATTACCTAGTCAGTGTGGGGTAGTAGACACAATATTGTACTGGAAATCCAGGTTCTAGTTCTATACATATCTCTAGTTCTACATGTAATTTAATGTTAGGCTTCAATTTCTTCATCAAAAAATTCGAAGGTTAGATAATATCAAGATTCCTTTCTGATTCTGTCACACTTATGATTATATTAACTCGTGTTAGATATATGATTTGCAAATATCTTCTCCCATTCTGTAGGTCACCTTTTCATTTTGTTGATAGTTTCCTTTTCTGTGCAGAATCATTTTAGTTTGATGTAGTCCCACTCATTTATTTTTGCTTTTGTTGCCTTGCACTTATAATTATACATCTAATGTTTCTTTAACACTGAAAATGCAAGTTGACTCGGTGATAAATTCTTAAAACCTCAAAGCCCTGCTTTTTCCAAATACAGTCCAGCCTTATGCAGTTTGTTTCAGGACACATTCATGTCATACCATTACACAAAGTTTTGCCATGGGCTCAATATCCCCCCGAGACTTTATCGACTTAGTGTATTTGAAGCACTGCGAAGGGAATATCGATATTATCAGTTGTAAGTTGAAACATTTTGCCCACACTTTGGAATTACTGTGAGTCATTAAATAAATTTTTTTACTTTTAACTCACAGTTTGAAAGAAACAATATATTCAATTAATTATTTTTTTATTTACTTAGTGAGGCCAATAAATGCATGTTATTATAGATAAGGCTGAAGTTTTACCTAATTCTAGAGGTGCCATTTATATCATAGTCAATGATTATGGCATCTCCTGGCCTTTTTGCAGCATATACCCTGCAGCACTCAGTATAGATAGATACTTGCAGGCTAAAACGTCACAGCATACATTATAAAACTACTAAGAAACAAAATTGATCTTTGGATATATACTTTTGTATTTAAATTACATAGAATGGGTATATCTAGAAACTGAAAAAGCTCATGAAGAAAATTTCAATAGATAGGTGTTTTCATAAATGTGCTTATATTTCTTTTAAAAACTGGAGGTTTTGATATACCCTTATCCACCCCCCGCCAAAAAAAATGTGTCACTCTGTAAAATATAAATACATAACCACTTCCTAATTTGCGTTATTCACTTAAAACATACCAGTTCACACCCCAAAGATCTTTGGACTCCAAGAATTCAAGATAAATCATGGTGAAGGGACTTTGGTAGGACAATGACCTAGAGCCTTTTTTTCCCCTGTAATTCAATTTAATCTCACTATTCCTATGTGAATAGTTTCCCCTACTGTAAACTACTTGGGGAGGGACAGTTCAGTGTTGTTAATTATTATTTTCGAACAAGGTTGCAGTTACTTTGATATATCTGTAGGACTCTTAAGTTTCTGAGTCCAGGACTGAGTCATTGCTCTGCTGATAGCACTCATGTGCACAGTTAGCTCTCTTGCCCATACCACTGGGGACTGCTGTTCATCACTTTCACATATTCGTCTCGTATAGTTTCATACAGTTGTCATTTAGTCGTCTCATTTTTAAATGAGGGCACATAAAAATTTATTCACTGCCTATAACACAAAATACTGTCCATTTGAATCATAGATCTGTTATTATCTATATTTTGAAAGCATTCAATTTGTATCTCATTTTTAGTGGTCAGAGGGAAGGTAAAAAATAAGTATGGAAGATAAAATCAATAAATAGTTATAATCAGTCATTCAGTGATCACTACTGAATTTGCTTTAAGTGATTTTCTTTGAATGAGTTTTTGATGATTACTGATAGTTTTCTTCTTAATGTTTCTGTTGTTGTCTAGCTTACTGTGTATCTTGCTTTGAGCTAAATATTTTGCATGCATTTTCTCACCAATGAGGAAACCGAAGTTCACAGAAATCAAGTTACATAGCTAATAAGCAGCTCAAGTCTTTCTGATTTTCCAAAATCTGTACTAACTACCATACTGTGTGCCTCACAAAAGACCCATACTTGTTTGTGGAATATAACAAAATTTTAAAAAATAAAGACAAATATAATCTCCATATTTTAAACAGTGAAAAAATATGTTAATATCACTTCTGGCAGTACCATTTTGCCAACATAATTGGCTCTGTTAAGATGATGAAACAGGTCATGAAAATGGGAAATTGATTCCACCACATTTGTCTCCTAAACTAGTCCTAAGCTAGTGCTTAACATTATATTTCTACAGAAGTGATTGCGTATGTTAAAATCACATAGGAAAATTCTGACAAAAGCAGGATTCAGTTGCACAGAATAAACAAATATATTCTGTTGCACAGAATAAACAGTTGCACAGAGTAAACAAATATATTTGGAAGAGTATATATAATTATCATAAACATAATCATGATCAGATGACCTCCCTTCTAACTTCACATACAATATGCAGTTATGCTGCATAATTCCTAAAACAAAATCTACTGATTTTTAATTATATATTGAAGTTAGCTACAGGGAATTGGCAGAAAGGGGCATTTAAACTACTTGTATTGACAGACCAAATAACTACATCAAATATTTTATTTTAAAAATTTATAAACCAAAACATCTATAAACCCACTATCCTAATAGAATAGTCTCTTTCTTTGTGATTTCTGCTTCAAATCTCAGAAAGTAATTGAACAATACTTTTAACAGTTTTTCCTGTACGTGAAAGATAACAGCATCTTTCGAAGTTCTACATGAAAAAGTGTGAGAGGACAATAGTGATCATACTGATATTCTTTCATTTTTGGCCTGTGTACACATTCAAATGTGCAAACATACATACATATGTATAAAACTAATGTCACTGCTGATAATAACTAAGTTAAATCAAGTGCTATGTCATACACTTTTTAAGATATGCTACTGGAAACAGAATTTTTCATCTTTGTGGAATAAGTTTCATTTTAATTCTTTTTAATCACTTAGCTACTAGTGTGGATTTTCCAGCATATCCTCCATCTTCAAATTATATCCGTGGTTGTAACCACGCTTGTGGCTATATGTGTTCACCTCTGCAAGAGTAAGTGTTATTTCCATATATTTATTTTTTAACAGTTTTTTAATTCAATTTGTAATTTGTTAACTAACTCACCAGAAATATGTTCTGGTATATTCTGTTGGGAAAAAAATTGCCCCTAAATACAATTTTTAAAATAATTTTTTAAGTATTTTTGTCTTAAGTATAATCAGAATGGATAATTCCCTATAAAGTATGATTTGAGGTTTCTGGCACTAGTCACATATATACAAACATCCTCACCCCCTCCTATTAACCTTAACCTGATGTTTTATGTTTCTCCATTAGAGTCACTTCTGTGAATTATTAGGGAATTTTTGCAAATTAAAAATAAATTTTCTAGAATTATAATGCAGTTACGTTTATCAGCAATGAATGCTTTACCTTGAATAAATTCTTTCCAATGGACTACCTACTGAGAACAGATACCTGCAGAATGACACATCCAGTAGGTAAATTCAGAAAGGGAAGAGCTGGAGAAATTAGAGTCACTGCCCACAGGTGGCCAGCCTAGGGATAAGATGGTAACATCCAATACACATAGTCTTTAAATGCCTATATATTAATTCAATGTATATCATTCTACAAATTCGTTACATTTTAATTTTTGGTAAATGATTTTATATTAAATAAAAGATATCGACACATAGAAACAGGTGTAAAACTTTATAGTGGTCAGATATAAACCACTCAATATGAGAAAAATATTTTTGTGAAGGAAGTCAAAATAAAATTACATTTAGACCCGTACTCCTTAATATTTTCTCTACTGAATTAGAGAACTAAAAGATATTCACAAATATTTACATTAATGGACAGGATCATTGATGCAGATGATGATGTTGATGACGATATGGCCTTTCTGCCCATCCATCAGTTTTGTGTCTATGGCCAGGACTTTATTCTCCACAGCAGTAAAGAACAAAACAGGGAAGGATTATTACTCCAAATCAGCTAGGTACATCAGCTGCTGGTGGGGACTCTTGTTGGGAAGCTACACAACCTAAAGTGTGCTTCACAGGCAAAGTCCCCTTCTTGCACCTTGTCACCGTTCCCTTTCCACTGCAAAAAGCATAGGACAAAAGCTCTGATTTAGATATCCCACCTAGGGTGGAAGCTCTGCCTACCATCCTGCTGGAGAAGGGTACTGACAAAAAAGTAGTTTTGTACCTTCTTTTTCCATGCAGCCCAAGTCCTATAGTAAACTTATAAAACATAGTATCTGTAGTAAAGGTACTCTACAGTAAATGTTGGAAAGGCTTGGTTAAGTGTGTAAAGCCCTAGTAAACTCAAATAGAGATTTAAGACTATACAAACTGCTAGTGAGTCCAGCCATTTGACACAATGTAAAAATAGTCTAAACTCTGCATAGAGAGGGTGTAAGAATATAGACACTCACGGTTTGTTGGAGCAGTGGTCTTCAAACCCCCCAAGAGAATTTTGTAAAACTGTATACTGCCTTGCACATTTTTAAGTTGATATTAAAATTTTTCATAGCATTATATTAAGAAGGTGCAATGTCCAGCATACTCTAAATCCTGACATTTAAAAAAAATGGTTATATCACCCTTCTAAGTGCATCCAATGGAATCTAAATACCATAACAACTTGAAACCCACCATTACATTATCAATTTCAAAATACATATAACCTTTAACAGTCAGAAAGTTTGTGTCATTTCTTTTCTTTTCTCCTTGATCCCATATTTTTACTCTTTTTCCCTTGCATAATTTTATCCTAATAGAATATATCTTATGCTTCGGGTTCTTTTATTAATCACTATCTATCTATTTTCAATCATACCTCAGCAAAAATAAGTACCTAATTTTTAAAATTTGTTTTATTTTCTATGACCCCAAGTATCTAAATGTTAAAAAATATATATGTGTACTGGTTTAAATTGTTATTACTACACATTGATAAAAATAAAAATGTATTACATAGTTGTTCAATATAAAAGCAAATTGTTGGGCTTCCCTGGTGGTGCAGTGGTTGAGAGTCCGCCTGCCAATGCAGGGGACACGGGTTTGTGCCCCGGTCCGGGAAGATCCCACATGCCACAGAGCGGCCCATGAGCCATGGCCGCTGAGCCTGTGCGTCTGGAGCCTGTGCTCCGCAACAGGAGAGGCCACAACAGTGAGAGGCCCACGTACCGCAAAAAAAAAAAAGCAAATTGTTATTGGAAACACATATTATTAGCAAAACTTAGCACTTACTATGTGCCAGACACTGTTACAAACAATTTACATATACCAAATAAGTCAATTATTTGATCCTCACAATTACCTCATGAAGTCGGTTGTATTACTGTCCCCATTTTGCAGAAAAGAAAATGGAAGCCCAGAGAGATTAAGTAACTTTCTCAGGGTTACACATAGGTAATAGCAAAGCTCAGCTTCAAACTATGCAGACTGGCTTCAGAGTCCATGCTTCTATCAATTACACTAATTTAACTGTAAAAAATATGGGACAAAAATGCTGATCTAGATGTCCCATCTAATAGAATGAGACTATCAAGTCTACTTCTACTTTGCATTTTTATAAAATAAGCATAGGAAACTTTGTTCACATAAATGAGTGAGTTAAAATGGAGAGAGTGCAACCCTAGCACTGTCATTCAATCCCTTGAAATTCTTCTGAGTTATGTGCTGTGAATTACATAGTGACCTATAATCAAAAATTGTTTTTAACGACCTATCAGGTGACAACTCAATTAGATCCTTACATTTTATTGAAAGCAAAGAATTGACATGACTTGGTAAGGTTTTATTACCCAGTCATCTGTCATTCACTTTCTCAATTCACTTCCAATAGATTGAATTTTCCCTTTAGCATCTCAAAGATTTTTATATGCTGGAGTAAAGCACCTTGGTACCATTCACTATTATTCAGTGGGGAATGACAGGCATCCCTTGGTTCTGTAAAGCAATAGAAGGGTGGTGTGAACAGGCTGGTGGCAAGAGAAAAGCCAGCATCTCCATCAGAGACGTATTCTCAGATCAGTTTAAGGAAAAGTTACATGGAAGTTAGAGATCTGAAAATTTATTCCCTTAAATGTTATTCAGTCTCTCATACCCCTTGGCAAGTCTTCATATACTCTAGTTTGAAGATCACTGGGTTAGAATGTAAAATACTACAGTCTTCTTGGAAGGCAGTTTGGAGATAACATTTCAAAATGTTAAATGCACAAAAACTTTGACCTAGAAACTCAATGCAAGTATTTATAGAAGTGCAAATGGATACATTACAAGATGCTTTATTGCAGCTTTATTTATTTATATTTTTTTTGCGGTACACGGGCCTCTCACTGTTGCGGCCTCTCCCGTTGCGGAGCACAGGCTCCGGACGCGCAGGCTCAGCGGCCATGGCTCACGGGCCCAGCCGCACCGCGGCATGCGGGATCCTCCCGGACTGGGGCACGAACCCGTGTCCCCTGCATCGGCAGGCGGATTCTCAACCACTGCGCCACCAGGGAAGCCCTATTGCAGCTTTATTTACAGTGGCAAAAAGTGAGAAACAACCCCATGACGGTCAATAGAGGACTGGTTAATAGAGTATGAAATACCATGTGCAATCATGAAAAACAATTAAGCTGATCTATATAGATTGACACAGAAAGAGGTGCATGATATCATACTAAGAGGAAAATGAAACTAGTTCCAGAAAAATAAATATGTCTCATTTTTGTAAAACTAAGAATGTACATGTGCATATATGTGGGGTACATATACATATATGTACATACATGCTATCTTTGTATATCCATAGACAATAACCTGAAAAGATACAGTCAAAGTTATAAATAGTGATTATCTGATGAACAGAGTGAGGGGGAATTGTGAAAATGCTCTACAGTTTAAATTTTCATAAGCATATATTACTTTTATAATTTTAAAAAGTCAATAAAATGACAAAAAGGAAATGATAACTAAAACTGAAGACTTTAAGATATAGTCTGACTACTTAATATTTTTATGTAAAATAGTTTATTTATGAGTGTGCAACTCACTCTACATTTTGTCCTTCCTTCCTTCAGTAGCTGTTTACACTGTCATAAGCGCTATGTGGGCAATCACTGGCAAATAAGACAAGCTTCCTGCTCCTTGTCAACTTGTACACTCCATAGATAAACTTAAAAATTCTTTATATTTTTTAACTCTTCCTTTGTTTACAGGAACCCAGCATATTCCAAACTAGTGATGTTTGTCCAGACAGAAATGAGAGGAAAATTGGCCCCATCAATAATTGAAGCAACCATGCCTTCCAATTTAGTAAGCTTCCTCCTCAATGTAAAGGATGGAGTAAAGACACAAAATTCTATCAGGACGTGGATGTCATCATGATGGGCATTCGTCATTCCGAAAGAAGAAATGAGGCCATTTAAAATCATGCGTGGCAGTTAACTGCCTTTTACTTCTAAGTCAATATGCATAAATACTGTTACACTATTCCAAACTGTATTCTTGAACAAACTACTGAAGGTACTTTGTGAAAATAAGAGCTCATAGTTGTACAAGAGAAGCATTAAATATAGTTTTTAATCTCATGTAAGAATAATGTTAAACAACAAGTGATCTTAATGCACTTTTATCTTTTGCTTTTTTCCCCTGGAAAATGCCCGGCAAGAAAACATCAATAAGAAAGCATATACAGGCAGAGGTCAGCATTAATTAAAGATTAAAATATATTTTAAATTGTTTTTCTTTCACTTACTGCTTAAATTGATAACTGTAGGAAGCATGAACATAAAAATTGAAAAGAATTCCACTAGAATGTTTGACAACTGATATCTGGAATCTGCAGCTGAATCATGAGTCAATTTTTGGTCTGGCCAGAATGTAGTAGCCCGTTCCTCCCAAGTCCTTCCTCGTAAAACTAGAAGACCTGCACTTACCACAACAGACAAGCATAGGAAGACTCCAGCATAGGTGGCAAGAAGAAGGTGAACTGGCCAAGGACCTGGAGACTTGAGGAATGTTTTAGCCGCGAGTTCTCTGGGTTTCCTTATTGCCATCCATATATTCCAGACAGGGCGCTGCCGAAGCCTCCAACCTGGAACTGCTGACAGGAAAGAAGAAAAAAGAGAGGGGGGAGGCTTTAGGAAAAAGCCGCCTCCTCCTCGCCATAGGAGTGCCCACAAACAAAAGGGTGGCCCCGCAGAACACCAGCCAAACATCAACCGAAAAGCTGCACCTAGCCAACGTGTGGGCAAAGCAGAGCGAATCTTCCACCCCACCTCATCTCCGCGGCGCAGAAGCAGGCCATGGTGCCTGGACAGCCCCAGCCTGTGGTGTCGGCAGGGTTGAGCAGGGAGCTCATCTTCCACCTTCCATCCAGCAGAGGCAGGTATGGTGCTTTGATATCCCTGCTGGGGTAGTGTTAGTGGGATGCAGTGGCAGAGTGAGCTTCCACCCGCACCTGGCAGCAGCAAGATTTAACCAGCTAGGTCAAGGAAGAGCTAGTCACCAGGCAGCTTCCCTGATCCTTGGCGCCACCACGGCCCAGCGTGATGTGAGCCTCCAGCCCCACCCAGCATCAGTGTTTTGCCCTCTGTAGTGTGTTGAATGGTGACCCCCAAAAGGTACATCCTTGTCAAATCCCTGGAACCTTGAATGTGACCTTATTTGGAAAAAGGATCTCGGCAGATGTAATTAAGTTAAGGACCTCAGAATGAGATCATCCTGGATTATCAGGCTCTAAGTCCAGTCACAAGTGTCCTCATAAGAGATGCACAAAGGAGAGACATGTGGAGAGGAGGAGGCCATGTGAAGACAGAGGCAGAGATTGGGGTTGTGCGGCCATAAGCCAAGCAACACCTAGAGCTGCCAGGAGCTGAAAGAGGCAGAGAAAGATTCTCCCCTAGAGCCTTCAGAGGCAGTGTGGCCCTGCCGACACTTTAATTTTGGACTTCTGGCCTCCAGAACTGTGAGAATAAAGTTCCGTTCCTTTAAGCCACCAAATTTGTGGTAATTTGTTACGATAGCTATAGGAAACTAATATACCCTCACTGGTGTCAGCAGGGCTCAGTGGGAATCTGGGCCTCTGCTCCTAGCTTGCATCAACAAGGTGAAGCAAGGTGTGGGACATGGGGTCAGTCAGCACTCCACTTCCCCTTTCCCTCCCTGGTGTCATCGGGGCCCAGTGGGGAGCTGAGCTTATATTTGCACTTGGAGGCAACAAGTCTATGCAAATCAGTGCCCATTTTTGCCAGCAAGGGGAGCTGAGCTGCCCCCTCACATCTGCAATGAGGGTCGGTCAGTGCTCTACTTTCACCAGGGTGGTGAGAGCAGGGCCTAGTGGGGAGCTGAATGTACATACCCACCAGTCCTCGCATTACACCTCAACTAGGAGACTGCCTGCTGAGATGGAAGGTTCAATAGGATCCAGAGTCCTTTGCAAAGGAAAGAAGAACATCAGAATGGGTAAAAAGAGGTGAAAATGTCAAATGTCATATGCTATTCTCAGGAGTATATTAAATCACATTTGATGGTCGACAGCGGTACAAAAGCAATTCATTGGAGGAAGGACAGCCTTTCAGCAAATGGTGTTGGAGTAACTGACATCCAAAGGCCTAATCCTGCACTTTGTACAAAAACTAACTCAACATGGAACATGGGCTTAAATGTAAAACATTAAACTACAAAACTCCTAGGAGGAAAATCTTCAGAACCTACAGCCAGGCAGAATTCTTACACTGGATACCAAAAGTATGATCCATATAAGGAAAAATAGCAAATTAATCTTCATCAAAATTTAAAATGTATGCTCTAAGAAAGACCCTAGGAAGAAGTATTATGGAAGGTGTCATCTGTAATAACGAAAATCCTATATAACACAAAAGTTTGAAGGTAATACTGTCATCCAAGTAATATGAAAAATAAAAATAATTTAATTCTAAACTTAGATTTTTCTTTAAATATTTTAAATCTTTCTAATCATGCAGCTTTCCTAATAATTCCAGACATTACTGGAATTACCAAAACAAAATGTTTATATTTAATCAAATGAAATGCTTATTCCCTGTGCACTTTCAAATCTTGGATCTTATCTGTGATGTTGGACATATAACATTAATGAACCAGAACCGTGCAACATGATTATATCAGTTAAGAAAATATTTGGGTGCAAAAAAACAGGACTTTCAGAGAACATAAATGTTGAGAGGTTTATTGCTCTCACACAGGAACTCTGGGAGTGTGCAGTACAGAGCTAATAATAATTGGGACCGGGGAGGCTCTTTACATCACTCAATTCTGCTTCGATTGTAGCTTCTGTCTTTCTGTCCCAGTGGCACTGTCCCAGGGTTCCAAGCAGGACAAAGAAGGGTAAAAGCTAAAAGACATTTTAGCTGATTTCATCCTGGTACGTAGCCTTTTTGGAAACCTCCACGTTCAATCCAAGATGTTCACATCTCATTAGCCAAGAGTGGAACACACGGCCAGACCTGGCATCTGAAGGTATTCTAGCATCTGTAGTAGAAAAAGAAAAAGGGAAGTTCTACTGGGGTGCAGAAATAAAATATTACAACTTCTACTTATGTTCATTTTTTTCAAAAAATCAATTCCTAATATATGCTGTGTACCTTGCCTACAGTGTCACACTTCACCAGTTATGAAAGGGTCCTGAGACATATTATAAAAGACATTCTGAGGAGTAAGAATAAGTTCAACAATGTGGAAGTTTTGAAAGTGATCGTTGGCTTTCAGTATATTTTGACAAATTGGGTTTCCTAGGGTTACAGTTAAATTGATATAGTTTTAATGAAAGAAAAACCCTTGGAAAATGGAGAAGTGAATTTAAAAGATTTCTATAAAGAAACTAAGGATTGAAAATGCAAATAATGAAAGCAAAAACGAGAATATAGCAGAGCTGACATTTCATTAATGTGAGATCTTTGCAACATTATAAAGTAAACAATAACAATATATGTAATTAGATCTCATAAGAAGTTAGAAAAATTATCAAGACTATTTGAAATATAAAATTGCATCCACTGTCAACGAAAATGAGCTTCATCCTAAATGTCTTTCATGTCTTAAGATATCTAACAACAATAGAATAAATTTATAATTTTAAACTATGTAAAAATAGAAGTACATTGAATTAAATATACATTTTGGTCAAACAGTAGGTGAGTATTAAAATCAGTATTTGTCCAAATCAAGGCCAGCTCCTATTATCACCATCATAGAATGAACTGGGACATAAGGATAAATCTGAAGTTTTATCAAAAAATATGTATTATAATTTTGTTTAAAATTTTTAGAAGTCTACATTTTCAAGTTTGACAAGAGTGTGCAGGGAAAAATAATTTCTCAGTATTGTCAGCTTCTGGACTATACCTACAGTCACTATATTGTACCCCTTCAATACACAGGCTCAAGTGGCACACATAATGATATTACTAACTCCTTTGGACATAAAATCTGGGAAAAGTTTCTTCAGTTCTGTGAGTTTCAAAACGAACTTTGGGGGCTTCTCTGGTGGCGCAGTGGTTGAGAGTCTGCCTGCCGATGCAGGGGACACGGGTTCGTGCCCCAGTCCGGGAGGATCCCACATGCCACGGAGCGGCTACGCCCGTGAGCCATGGCTGCTGAGCCTGTGCGTCTGGAGCCTGTGCTCTGCAACGGGAGAGGCCACAGCAGTGAGACGCCCGCGTACCGCAAAAAAAAAAAAAAAAAATGAACTTCAATTTAGGATTCATAGTTTTGGCAAACCTTAAAATTCCTTTAGCAAAATGGCAGTCTACAATAATCACTTTAATAAGTTGCTTTAAATTTTATCCTCCAGTTGAAGGTTGTTTGGGGATTTAATTGGTTGAACAAAATAAGTTGTTTTTCACTAACACTTTTTTTCACTAACACTTTTCTCACATACTTTATCTTTTTCATAAATCAAGATGACTTATATATACTATTGTAAATTATTGTATAACTATTGGTTGCCACAATAATGATGTTTAATAGACAACCATAAAACCTCAGAGGCATACAATTAACTTTATTTATCTTAAGTCTGGCAAACGGCTGTGGGTCATCCGAGAAAGGATGGCCTGGGCTGGAACAACTGGAGTGACGTAGCTCTGCTTCGAGTCTCCATCCTCCAGCAGCCTTGCCTGGAGGTGGAAAAAGACTAAGTGTTTTTCAAGTCTAACATTCCATTGGCAAAGCAAGTCACTCCGCCAAACTTGTAATCCTATATAAGCAAAGAAATAGAATCTGCCTTTTTAGTGAAACTGTAAAGTCCCATGGTAAAGGAGTATGAATACAAGAGGTGAAGAAGTGAGACCATTAATTCAGCTGATCTATGACATTTCACCGTCTGGTCATAATCACATTCCTTCCACATGCATGATATACTCACTCATTCCCAAG